ACAATTATGCAGCATATTGGAGTTTATATGCACAATTTAATTTGCATATATCATGACATAAAACGCTCGAAATATTTGGTCAAGGAGCGCCCGAAAATGTGACCGGATTGAATTAATTGTAATAATTTAAAGATATTTAAAAAATACTAAATAAGGATTATTTAGAACTTAAAATTTCAATTTTCCTGATATACCGTTAAAAATAGTTTGCATTTACAATTCAGAGTATATTCTGATATTTTTCATGAATGCGGTGATATGATAACTATTGGCAGAAGAAATGTCTCGATTTACAAAGAAGCATTCCTAAGTCGTTGATAGACTTTGAAAATGTCGATAGGGTAGTTAAAAATAGGGGACACGTATTTCTTCACGTATTTCGTTAATCGTACGTTAGGAGGTCGAAACGGCCCTACGAAGCTAATTATTGTGGAAAATGTGAAGTATATATATGAAGAAATGTCTTAAGTAAATATTCTAAATATTTAAAGCATTCTGCAGTCAATACTTTTTAAAAATATTCCTCTTTCTTCCATATATCTGATTTAATATGTTTGATTTAAGTAATATATTATAAGTATAAAGAGGTTTAGTCTTCGAGATGAAGCACATAAATTGCATCTCTTTCTCATAATATCTCTTCTTACGTTATTTCTGCAGTATCTCTTGGATCGCGCTGGTCACGATTCGGATTCTCGATAGCATCACCGACCGGCGCATTTGATGATTCCTAATAACACGAATATACTGAGTATTTTGGTGAATTTGTGCACCCAGTATAACCTGTAATACGATCGACAAAATTGACTTACTTCGGCACTCTAACGTAAGACGCTTGAAAGCGGAAAAAATTGAAACTTGAACTCACCTCAATAACCGAACTCGAGCTTTACTTAACGTGTCTGGATTGTCCTTCAGGATGTATTTTCGGATACCTAACATGTATTGATGTAAATACATATCCCAATCCATGTTTCTGATATCTACGTCGAAGTCGCCGCAATCTTGCGCCGCCTTTATGAATTTCACCAAGTTCGTCATGTTACCCCTTAAAAATTTCCATTCGTTCATGGCGAAGAATTCCCCTACTTTAGTGGCGCGTTCAAATCGCTTGGTAATCTTCATCATCCTGAAAAGAAACAGCGTGCACTCGGATTGTCGACAAGTAAAACTTCCACGCGGTTAAACTGAGAGAGGGTACTTACACAGGTTTGCAACCTTGGGCCCTTAGTATAAGATCGACGATGAATGCGGGTAAGAAGTGCAACGTGGTCACCATGATGGCGTGAATAAATTTATTTGTTCTAAATGTGAAGTCTGGATACCACATCACGTATTTCGAGGGAGATTCGATTGCGTGTTTTCTCGTAAGGTTTCCAAATTCTCCCCATCTATAAGAATCACAATATACATACACATATACATACCACACACACACACACACACACACACACACACACACACACACACACACACACACACACACACACACACACACACACATTTAAATTAAATATACGTAATATCAATAAAATATTTTTGTGAGTCAACAAATATTTGACAGTCTATATAGTAGATTTCTATTATCTCTCCTAGGAAAAACAAAATAATTGTAATTTATAATACGTATCGTTGTTTCTTCTTTTTTTCACGAATACTCACGTGATCGGATGTACTCCACTGCTGGTACAATTGTAAATCTTGATCGTGTCAGAATGTTGGACAGTGTTATGCCAAGATGCGCAGATCAATGTATTGACAACAAAATCGACAGGCACGACGTCCACCACTAAATTCGCATTACACACGATACTTCTAGCAGTGCCTCTACCTATCTCCGTCATTATACCTATATTGAATAATGAAATATATGTATGGTATACATATATGCTATACATGTATGTAGTATATGCGGAAGAAAATTATCCAATCCGACTAATTTCGTTCTATACAATGTGCATTCGTTTACCAAGAATATTTATTTTCCACCGTAATGACTAATTATCTTTTAGAAAGCTATCAATTCTTAAATTAAGGATTTTAACTTTCATTCACGTACTACGGCAATAAAATACAAATTATGAGCGGTCAACCAAACGATATTTACCGCGTTTCTTTGTATTTTCTAAAATGTCTTTTCTTATTTAATTTTTTTACGAGCGATTTAATTCCCAAATGTGACTTTGTCACCTAATTTTCAGGTTTAAAAAAAAAAAGTCGTGTTTCAGTTAAACTATACACACTACGTACCTGTAATACCACAAACATTATCTATCCATCCTGGAAATGGTTCCTGATATGCGGCACAGACTATGCTCGGTCGTACAATTGCGATCGGTAGTCCGTTTCCTTTGGACATCACAAGCTGCTCTGCCAATCCTTTGGTCAGCGTATATGTATTCGGATGTTTACCGAGCAATCTCTTTTCTATTATTTCTAACGTCTCGTCGTCCAAATTTTCGCACATATCGATCACAGTATGAGGTTTTACTTCTGTGCTGTAAAAAAAAAAAAAAAAAATGAATCCGAACTGTCATCCATATGTTGTGTATAAAAATATACCAGGAATTTGAATATCACATCGTATCGCAAAATTGCTAGCAAGAAATAGCCATTTTATTGCATGCACTTATAGCTCGACTAGTCATTAGATTCCCCTTTCGTTTCGCCTATCGCAGTTATCGGACACTATAGTCTTAAAAAAAAAAAAAAAAAAAAGAAAGAAAAAAACGTTGTATTCATATCTACGACCCGCATATTTCCATTCTTAACATTCTAATGTACGTAAGTAATAGATGCGTTTTATCGATAGTGACACTACTTTCACCTTTCTTCATGTTCTTCAGGAAAAGAACGTATAAATAATTTAACAAAAAGATGTCGACATAATTTCATAACCTTAGATCTTCTTAACGAAAGGTTTGTTTCTTAAACAAAAACGCTTGTATATAAAGAACAGTTCTGCTGAAATTATCTAGGAATTTCGACAGAAAATAATTTTGTATCATCAAAATAATTGCATAATTGGGACGTTCAAATAAATTGTTGGAACATAAAAACATTCGTAATATATTATACGTTACGTTTTGAACGTCCTACATTTAAAATTTATCTTGACAGCGGAGAAAATTAGGGCGGGTGTCGCGCGTATATCGGTAGCTTACATGTATATCAATTCATCAATCTCCCGCCGATCGGCATTGCTGTAGGCCGTGCTGATGTGAATGACGCTTATTAGATTCGGCATGTGCTTGCACAAATCCAGCATACGCTCGGTGCCCTTCGTGTTCAGATTAACGGCTACCTTCAGCGGCTCGTTAAAGCGCACGGTAGCCGCCCCGTGGAAAACGATGTTAACCCTCTGTATCAACATGTCCCTGTCCTCAGGTTGCAACCCCAGCTCCGGCATGCCCACGTCACCCTTCACGGGAAAGATCTTGTTCAACGCACCCGGAAAATCCGATCGTATCCTGTCGAAGACCTGCAATAGAGAAGACACCATTCAGTTTCTCGCGCGAGCCGCGCGCAACCGAGTGCATTGAACGCAATTATGATCGGTCCATTGACCAAGTTTGAGATAATCAGCGAGAAGAGGGTTGACAATCGCAATCCCCCCCCCCCTTCGCCGTGCTTTGTAGACGACGACTTGACACTTGAGGATATACATGAGCGCACGCCGGCGGCAGGTGAAATATTTAAGGCGTCCTACACGCGAGGGGGAGGGAGGGGGGGGGGAGTTGTACGGGATCGATATTGCATTAATTTCACAAAGTGAGCGCGCTATTACCGTCCGTTAAGAAATCTGGCGCGAGATTGCAATGAGATTAAATTTACAGAGAATTAACGACGGAGCGAGCTTCTACGTCAAAGGTCTTCCGAGCCGAGTTATTCCGAGTTATTCCGCGAGTACTGGCGATACTGGGTCATCGAAAAACGAACCCACTTTGCCTGCTTGAATTGAGTTTGATTACAGTTTTCAACACGTGTGTTAGGCGACGAGTGATAGGAAACTCCGTCCTACTTTGACGGCCTTAAAAATTCTCGGCGCGTCCCCTCGTGTCACGCGATCGCGCGCGCCCGAATAGATAATTCAATTTCCTCCACAGCGATAACGTCGAAAACTTTTCCGTTTTAAAACGTGAAATATAACAAAATACAAACGGAATTTTCCAGCAGCTCCTTGAAACGCTGCTCGACGGTGTGACCCTTTTTTGGACGGATCAGAATGAAGATCATGGCCACCCGGGGACACGAGCGCAGCAGCTTTTCCAGAAGGACTTTCCCCAGGAATCCGGTGGCGCCGGTTAAAAGGATCACCGTCTCAGCGAAAAATGTGTCGATCGAACTTCCTCTCGAGCAAGCCTCGTCGTGTGCGTGTCCCGAATTGGTTTGTGCGTTCGTCGTACCCATTTTCAAGCTCGTCTGCTTCAAGCTCTACACGATGCCTATGTTGAAAAATGCCTATATTGAAATTAGCGAAACTTTATAATTCGAGTACACATTCGAGGCTCTGCGTCTTTTAAAAATTTATAAATGTTCAGGGACGATTGTTGGACCAACATTGGATTCTTTAGATCAGTGTTTAGAATTTGATGCACATCGCGGGTTTCAGGGATGAGATGTGATTTGACATTTGCGACATTTGCGAGTCGAGTTTAAAATTTGCGCTAGACATTTATACGTGCGCTATTATTATTTATGCACACTTCGAGAAAGAGGTTACATTTTGAATATTAATTGTAATTTTGTGACACTTTTGTCGCACGTGTAAGTTCATGCATTGATTATGATGCTTGTATCCTTGACCCGAAGCATCGTAAGTTTCACTACATATCTCAAATCGATATAGCCGTGGTGACGGTCATCAACCGACGTCGGAAAAAGCTCTTATTAATAATTCACGCGTGTATATAGTTCCGTGGTATAGACTGCGTGTAAAACGTATTATGTATGTCGCTCGGAAGTCTACTTTGCTCGACGTGACGTCACTCTACAAATTCTCGACATTATAATGAAGCTGAGATCAAATTAAAAAAAAAAAAAAAAACTATACACTATAAAATTACATAATACATATAAAATTACATAAAATTACATATTTTATTATTCCGTACACGACATTCCATCGATATAGCGTTGTCAATTAATGAAGCAATTTATGGAACTCATATTTACTGTAGTTTGCTAAGGACTTATTATTTTTTGCCTAAATCTTTAATCAGTTTTTGAAAAATCTTTTCCCGAACGGGTGAATTTTATAAGAAGAATTAATAAAATAACAAAACTCAAAACAGTACACAATATGGTTCTTATTTCAAATATTTTTAGAATTTGGCAACACCAAAATGATTGTCTTCATTATGTATACATCTTCTATGGATGATCAATATTATTGTTGAATAAATTTTGACAATTATATAAATATTTTCGTCAAATATTTTCTTATCGATCATTCACTCACTTTTAAAATGTTGGAAGTTTATGAGCGGCATAATTAATAATGAGTCCTTCTACCAAGGCCGAATTTATTATTGGACGCTTATCGCTTTGGTCATTAGTCTGATGTGAAAAGATAATTTCTCCGCGAAACTCTAAGGTCTCAAGATATAACTGCAAACAATGTCTCAAGATACAATTACAATCGCATGAACGGATTCTTATCACCGGTTACTCGAGATAAGACATTGACCTAATTCATGCTGGATGAAACATCCGAAATGAAAATGCAAACAAAGTGCAAATTAGGAAATACATTGAATTAACGCCGTAATGTATACATGTTATAAATTTACTGCTCGATACGAGTAAGCATGAAAAATTCAAGTGAATGATTAAAATAAAAATAAATAAATAATATAAATAAATTTATATTATTTATTTACACTGAAAAAAATATTTTTCAAACTAAACAGCTGGACAGAAACACATAAGTTATTTAAATTATAAACAAACGACTGAAATTTATCATTATTAATATCTTAATATTATAAGTAAAAAGCATTTTTTTATTAAAAAAATGATTTCTTATACATTTTTATTTGTATTCTCGATAACATAAATTAAATTTAAAAATTAATTATTGGTGATTTTTAATGTATTAAATGATAAATATTGAGTCTGAAGCAGCTATTTTACCATCTTTTAATCTTTGTGTATTTTCGATTTTTTGTGCTTTAATATTATATTAGTATTTATTTAAAATAGTGATGTCACTATTTTAAATAAATTATTAAAGCACAAAAAATCAAAAATTAATCTTTGTGTATTTTCGATTTTTTGTGCTTTAATATTAATTAATATTAATATTTATTTATAAAATATTTATAAAATAGTGATGTCACTCTTTTAAATAAATTATTAAAGCACAAAAAATCGAAAAGATGCACAAAGATTAAAAGATGGTAAAATAGCTGCTTCAGATTTTCAAACTCAATATTTATCATTTAATACATTAAAAATCACCATTCAGTTTTTATCGTAATCTGGTTTATCATTCATTAACTAATTCAAGTAGGAGATTAAAACGCTGATATCATCGATCATTTTTAATCAATAGAAAAAGAGTAATTTTATAAAATTTATATAGTATGGTAGGATAGGTATGGAAACATTAAATTTATTAAAGTTTAATCAAAAATTATGAATCCTCTAGATTACGCGATTACTTAAGCAATAAAGAGACATTTATATCTAAAATAAATAATAAACAAACAATTTCTGCTTTGAATTTTTTGAAAAGAAGACTTTTTGACTAATTTCAGCAAATAATTTCATGATTTCTAAATAGAAGTTGGAGATTAAGTGATATCAGAAAAGCTCGATGTGACTGTTCAAAATGTCAAAGTAAAAAAAGAATTTTAAGAACAAAAATTTCGTCTCGAGTTTTTTTAAAAGTGCAAAATGCAATTCATCCAGTTTTGAAATATCTTATATATCATAGAAATATTAACAAGTAAGTAGAAAAAGTAAATGTGCAACTTTCATGGATGTATTTATACGATTGTCGATTTCGCGAGAAAGTTTGAATAGGCGTTCTTCGCTAAATGCGATCGTCCGTTTACTCGAGGGCGGCCCTTTGTATCGAAAGGGTTAAGACGATCTCGCCGTGGTCGAGTTGCACGTGATACAACTCGGAGAGCGATCGATCGACCTGTACGCTCTAAATATCGATCGGCCAACCATACCAGAAGTTACACTTTTCGCCTATACGTATATGCGTAAATACCAATGTAAATCTTACCGCGAAGATTAGAACTCTAATACGACGGTTTTACGTCGACGAGACCGACGTAAAAGTTGTTTTGCCTGAGCGACGGAAATAAAAACGTTCCGCGGACGTTCCCTTCATTTCATTTCATTTCTTTCCCTTTGGCAAAAATAAAAAGAAGATTTCTCTTATATTCGCGGATGCAGCTTTATGTTTTATCCCCGTGAAATGAATTCCGCAGAGTAATGGCTTCTGTTTGTTGCAAAATAGACGCGTGTCTGCATACAACAATTATGCATCTTATAATAATAACAATAATAAAATAAGATAAATAATATAATTAAACACACACACACACACACACACATATATATATATATATATATATATATATATATATATATACGAATTTTGTCAATATCAACGAAAAAAATAAAAATTTTGATTTGATAAGCATATTTTTCAAGGTAACTAGATTACATCCGATTCATAATTATCCTTCACAATTCGTATAAGATTATTCGTATAAGATAACTTGTTATCAGTGAATATGAATCTTTCATATCATTCGCGATTTTGCCATTTTTTTAATCATGATTTACGATTTGTTTGTAATTCATGACTTACCAGCAGTATTAGCACCAGATGTGCGATTCATATTTCATAAGCCATAATTCGCTGTTCGTATAAGATTTGTCATTCGTAGCTATAAACCTCCCACACTGTTTACATTTGTAATTTGTAATTTACAATTTGTTTATAATTCATGATTTATCAGTAGTCTAATCAGTATGAGCTGAGACGCACGAATTTTAACGCAACACTACAATGTAACACTACAGAATCTATGCAGATCAACTAATTCATAATAAATCTTTTGATTTTATTAAAAAATCGCTAGTGAATGGTGAATTCGACAAATCTGCTCTTTCACAATATTCAGAAGTCTTGTACGAATAGCGAACTACGAATCACGCACAATTTGATGCTCTACTAACGCGAACAAAAACTACTGCATCAATTCTTTATTACGTTCCTTATCTCCTTTTCACTTATTTATCTTATCGTGGTTACATGCGTAACGCAACAACATTTCTTACACCGTGGCAAAACAAATGGAAATTAGAATAAATTATTTCTCTCAACGTCGTCGTGTCGTTCTTTAAATTAAGAATATTAACGAAACGCATTTAATGTAAAAGATGAACGAAGTAGAAAACTGACCGGGCTGAAATTCAGGATTTTTCGTACATTATTCGCGACATTTACAATAAATAGTTGAAATGACCGCGACAGCTCCTCTTCTAAGTAACTATTTATATTCCCGATTTCTCCTACTCTAATACTAACTCTACTAATAAATTCAAGGTTGCAAGAAATGCAATTGCAACATGCCAGCAAAAATGGAATAGAAATAGTTTGGATTCAATGATGATTTATGATTAAGCTAACATCGTAATTAAAGCATGAAGAACACAATGTCATTAGATCGTAATGGAAAAAAATGATATGATCATGTTTATTATATAGATTGAAATAGATTGATTTTTTCTTCTTCTTTAATATGCATGAATATCAAAGTGTAAAAAAAAAAAGAAAAAAAAAAGAAGTCGGTTACGAGAATTTTGAGTCATTCTGTGTCACGAAATTAATACTATCCGTCTTGACGTTAGGCCGTCTAACGTCATTTCTTACATCTCTCTTCCCCCACGCTCCCCCTCCCCTGAGTTCCGTGAAAAAAATACCAAGCGGCAAGCGGAGATGCACCCTCGTCCGCTTTCGGCGGACGGTCCGACTTTCGGCGCCGATAGAAATATCGATGACATGTCGTCGACATGATCTTCCTCGT